TTTTCATAATAAACAAAATGATCCTCCTATTGTGCGTATTCACCTAACCACAAAATGTATAACTTTGCCACAAAATTTCATAATATATTAGTGTATCAAAAAATCTCGTAATCAAGCCACAAACGTTTACAACATCCACGACAAAATTGTGGATATTTTGTTACGTCAATTTGTAGCGAGGTTATGCATGCATTTTATGGTTGATGTTACAAAATTTTGTGGCAAAGTTAGGGTGATATTGTAATAACCCGACCCTTGTACATGTTTTCTGGTATACTTTCAGTCCCCTATTCTGTGCATTTATATGCTTATTGTAAAATTCCATGTGAAATTAAGTTTAATTAAGTGAATCCTATGATTATAGATGCATATCTGTCTAATAAGAGAAACATTTGTTACAATTATGATGTTTGGATCAGAAATTGGAAGCCTTAGAAGCTTAATTCTCTGAAATTGACTTTATATTTGAGATCAGCATAATTTTTAGACCATAGTATACTTTTCTGTAAAATTTTGATTTGGAACGATTAAACTGATTAAGTTTTGTCTTTATTCAACCTTTATATATATATGTATAGCTATAAGTGTCTCTTTAAACTTGGGACTTAGAAGCTTTCTCATCAAAATATCTCCTGAGAAAGAAGAGTAAAGAGAATAGGAACAACGAGGGAAGATCTACAAAGAAGAGGATTGAGAAATTGAGAGGGTTTAAAGGAATTTAAGCTCAAGGTATGTGTAATTCATCTTAAATAGCCTCCTTCTTAAACATGTGTAAAAAATCCCCTTTCCTTTGTGAAGATTAGGGTTTGTGATTGAAATTTGGTGGGTGATAATCACTTAATTGGAAGATGTACTTGTTATTTGCTTGTTTTGAGAATTGGTTTGAGTTGTATAATGAGGATTTACATTCTAACCTTTGATTTTTCATGTTGAACCTACATATTTGTATATATATATTGTTTATAACAACCACAAACATAAGGGTATGGAATTGTTTGTGTTGTTGATCCATATTTTTGCAATAAACTACTCTATTTTGAGCCTTATAAATGCTTACCAAAGTTGGGTTGTGCTTGAATTTCAGACTGCCCAAAACAGGGGCCACGGCCGCGCGTGCGGAGGTCATGGCCGCACGTGCGGAAAAGAGGAAAAAAAATAGGAATTGCATTCTACATTTTGCTACTCGTGCGAGGAAGGAGTACCGCACGTGCGGTCCACCCTTCCGCACGTGAGGAGGGGGCTGCCGCACGTGCGGCCCGTGCCGGAAAATGTTGTCTGCTCCGTTTCCCTGTTTGACCCTCTGATATTATTAAAATAATGATTTGATGCTCTTAAAATGTTTGGAAATTCGTTGAAGCGAAACGAATCAGAAAATGATTAAAAGGGAAAATGAACTAATTCTTGTACTGTGTGTGTATGTAGGGCACATACCGGAAGCAACTGCCACTCCACCACAGCACTGTGAGTAGTAGTACTGTAGTAGTGCGCTTTATTTATCGCTAATAATTACTATTAGCACTATGTTAATCGCAAATTACCTATGTTAACTTATATAAACGATTGAAAAAATGTGTGTACCTCTGTATGACTCTGAAACTCTGTATGACTCTGAAACTAGTCTGCTCTGATGATATCTGGGCCAATGGCCAATCTGGGAAATCTGTGAGGCCTATGGCCAATCTAGAAAATCTGTGAGGCCTATGGCCAATTTGTGAAATCTGTTAGGCCTAAGGCCGTTCTGTATATCTCTAGGCTTGAAGCCGCTTTGAATAAAACCTAGGCCTGAGGCCGTTCTGAAAGTATTTACCGAATGAAATTAATCCTATGCCCTCTGCACCTATATGCGTTATAATTCAAGTTTATTTAATGATTTGTTTAAGTACTATTATTCACTGAGCTTGGCTCACTCCGTGTTATGTCTGTTTCTGTAGGTAATCAAACTGGAGGTCAGTCTTAACCCATGACGCTCGTTCTCTTTTGTCAACCTCAGTGTGTCCAGGCACTTAGATGAAGCCCACTCATTTTTGTGGAGTCTTGCTAAGCTTTTGGCTTTGTACTCTAATTGTCTGCCTAAGGTTGAAATGTATATAACCCCTTTCTTCACTAACGTTTTTGTTGTACGCCCAATCATGGGGCTGGGTCTGTGTATGTATATGTACGTAACTGGTTCTCAGATGTATGTCACTGTATGTTTATCTACCCGATGCAATGTTTATGATCCTGGCATAGTAGTGATAGCTCAATGGATATTGTTTTATGTTATTAAATGCTTCCGTTCAGGCCCCATATGTTATGCATATTGAATTTAATGTCCGTGTCTGAAGTGATCATGCTCAAACTTTTAGGGGCGGATTTGGGGTGTGACAAGTGGTATTAGAGCACGAGTTGCTATCTCACACACCAATCCATTGAGCCTTAGGATGTCTAGAAAAGACTTAGGCATTATGCATAATATTCTGAATGCATATGGAAAGATTGATGGCAACGTTAAATGTAATCTGCTAATGCTAATGATTATGACCATGTCTATTGTATATTTCTTGTGTATGTTGTAATTGATTGTCATGTAGAATATGGTGGATACGGACTATAAGAAAGCACGAAAATTTTAGGGCGGACTACGGAATGCCATCCTTGACCGAGTCAACATGTTGAAGTTACCCACCTATGTTGATGTGTTGAAAAGAGCTGTTATAGCAAAGGGAAACCTTGCTGCTCAGAATTGGATTTCTGAATGGAAAGGAAAGAGGCAGAATATTCAATCATCAAAGGGGTCAACCACTCCACCTAGCAAGAAACAAAATTCGCGGACTTCTAGTACTTCCACTCTTACTCCAGACTCGACTCCTGTTTGTTCAGAATGTAGAAAGAAGCACTGTGGGACTTGTTATCGATTGTCTGGAGCATGTTTTCGCTGTGGCAAAACGGGTCATTTGGTAAGGGACTGCCCTCAGAGGAATCAACAAAATGGCAATAGGGTTACTACAAGTTCAATGGGGTCTACACCAGCTCCCAACACTAAGTCAGCTGCCAAGCCTGTTAGTTCAGTAGGGTCTACACCAACTCCCAACACCAAATCAGCTGCTAAGCATGTTAACAATAAAGACACCGCAAGACAAGACAGGGTGTTTGTATTGGTTCCGGGAGATGTGCAAAATGCTGCAACAGTGGTGTCAAGTATATTTATCCTTCATGGTCATTCTGCTCATATATTGTTTGATTCTGGCTCTACCCATTCCTTTGTGTCAAAACTATTTGCTCAAAATCTAGATAAATCTGAGGAAGTATTATCTTATATGCTATGTGTGTCCTCACCTTTGGGGGATTCTATGATCTGTACTTATGTATATTTTGCTTGTGAACTCCTAATTGGGGATATCCAGGTATATGCCAACTTATTGCCTCTTAACATGACTCACTTCGATATTATTCTGGGTATGGACTGGCTGAGTGAATATGGTGCAACTATTGACTGTTTGACTAAGCAAATCAGTTTCCATCCTCCAGGACACTCAGAATCTACCTTTCAGGGATGTGGAGTGACTTTTCCACCTTATTTGATTTCTGCAGCAAAGGCTTGTAAATTAATTCAGAAAGGGTGTCAGGGGTATTTATGCAGTGTTTTGGAAGGGCAAGTGATGAATGGGAGTACTGACATGATTCCAGTTGTCTGTGAATTTTCGGATGTTTTCGGAAGAATTACCGGGGGAGTTAGTAGACCGTGAAATCGAGTTTACAATTAAAGTGGCGCCGGGAACTCAACCCATTTCTAAGACTCCGTATAGGATGTCACCAGCTGAAATGAAGGAATTAAAGATTCAGTTGCAAGATTTACTGGATAAGGGTTCATTCGCCCGAGTGTCTCTCCATGGGGTGCACCAGTTCTGTTTGTGAAAAAGAAAGACAGAACACTTCGATTATGTATAGATTATAGGGAACTTAATAAAGTGACAATCAAGAATAAGTACCCATTACCCAGGATCGATGATTTGTTTGACCAGTTACAAGGGGCACAAATCTTTTCAAAAATTGATTTACGGTCTGGATACCACCAATTAAAGGTCAAAGCTGATGATGTTGAGAAGACAGCTTTTCGAACCCGATATGGTCATTACGAATTTCTGGTTATGCCCTTTGGAGTTACTAACGCACCAGCAGCGTTTATGGATTTGATGAATCGTGTCTTCAAGCCCTATTTAGATGAGTTTGTGGTGGTGTTTATCGATGACATCCTCATTTACTCGAAAGATGTAGAAGCTCATGAGAATCATCTTCGTTTAATCCTTCAAACACTCCGAGAGAAGAAATTGTATGCAAAATTGAAGAAATGCGAATTATGGCTATATGAAGTAGCATTCCTAGGGCATGTGATAACGAAGGAAGGAGTGTCTATGGATCCGCACAAGATTGAGGCAATTATAAATTGGCCGACTTCTACCAATGTAACTGAAGTACATAGTTTCTTGGGATTAGCTGGCTATTGCAGGAGGTTTGTTCAAGATTTCTCCAGAATCGTTGTACCCCTCACTCAATTGACTAAAAAAGGAGTTGTGTTTGAATGGTCAGAACAACGGGAATCTGCTTTCTGGGAATTAAAAATGAAGTTGACTACAGCTCCGGTTCTTGCCTTACCATCTAGTACCGAGGGATTTGTGATCTACAGCAATGCTTCCCATAAGGGATTAGGTTGTGTGCTTATGCAAAATGGAAGGGTTATCGCTTATGCTTCACGTCAGCTTAAACCCCATGAGAAGAACTACCCCACACACGACCTTGAGTTAGCCGCGGTAGTTTTTGCTTTGAAGATATGGCGACATTATTTGTATGGTACTGCTTGTGAAATCTATACCGATCATAAAAGTCTCAAATACCTTTTCACCCAAAAGGAGTTGAATATGTGACAGCGACGGTGGTTGGAACTTATTAAAGACTATGATTTGCAGATCCATTACCATCCTGGTAAAGCCAACACGGTTGCAGACGCACTTAGTCGGAAGAATATGGGAAATTTGGCAAATTTGGTTACGGGGCAAAAGGAGTTAGTGATTGACTTGGATAAAATGAAGGTAGACCTTGTGGTACAGGGACAGAAGGCCATAGTAGCAGCAGTGATGGCCCAAGCTACATCAGAGGGAAGATGAAACCTTGAGAAAGATCTTTGATGGGTTAGAGACAAAACCGAAACCGGGATTCCATGTGGAGAATTCAGTGCTCAAATTTCAAGGCAGACTATGTGTTCCCAATGTATCAGAAGTCAAGCAGAAATTGATGGAAGAAGCTCATGCCTCGAGATTTTCATTACATCCTGGAAGTACTAAATGTATCGGGATTTAAAACAAAATTTTTGGTGGCCAAGCATGAAAAAGGAAATTGCGGATTTCGTCTCCAGATATTTGCAATGTCAGCAGGTAAAGGCAGAGCATCAGAGACCGACAGGGTTATTGCAACCCCTTCCAATCCCAGAATGGAAGTGAGAACGTCTGACTATGGATTTTTTCGTAGGGATACCACGGACTCCTCGGGGTATGAATTCTGTATGGGTCATTGTAGACTGGTTAACCAAGTCTGCCCATTTCCTACCTGTGAAGACTTAGTATAATGCGGATAAACTTGCTATGATCTATGTGAACGAAATAGTAAGACTCCACGATATTCCTATTACAATAGTATCAGATAGAGATCCGAAGTTTGTATCTAGATTCTGGTAGAGTCTACAGGGAGCAATGGGTACAGAATTAAAGTTTAGCACGGCTTTCCACCCTCAGACAGACGGACAATTTGAGAGAACGATACAGACATTAGAAGATATGCTCCAAATGTGTATTTTGGACTTTCAGGAAAGTTGGGAAACTCATCTACCGTTGGTAGAGTTCGTGTACAATAATAGTTACCATTCGAGTATTGGGATGACACCTTATGAGGCTCTGTATGGGAGGCCATGTCGCTCCCCTGTGTGTTGGGCCGAAGTTGGAGATAGATCATTGCTAGGCCTCGAAATTGTTCAGTTGACAACTGAAAAGATTAAAACTATTCGGGAAAGATTAAAGACTGCTCAAAGTAGACAGAAGAGTTATGCGGATAACCGACAAAGGGATTTGGAATTTGAAGTAGGTAATCATGTTTTCGTGAAAGTAACTCCAATGAAAGGACATCCGAGGTTTGGGAAAAAGGGTAAGTTAACGCCCCGATATGTTGGTCCATTTCAAATTCTGGAGAAAGTAGGTTCGGTGGCTTACCGAGTTGCCCTTCCACCTAGTATGAGTCAAGTACATAATGTATTCCATATATCTATGCTTCGCTGGTATTTTCTAGATCCGTCTCATGTCATTGATTACCATCATATCGTTCTAGATGATAAGTTGACGTATGAGGAAAGACCAATTCGGATTTTGGATTGGCAAGTGAAACAACTACGGAATCGAGAAATCCCTATGGTGAAAATCGAGTTGCAAGAACATTATGGGACCGAGGCTACTTGGGAAAGAGAAGAGGAAATGCAATACCAGTATCCGTATCTGTTCCTATCCTAAGGAAAAACAAGTTTGAGGGACCAAACTTATTTAAAGGGGGGAGAGTGTAATAACCCGACCCTCGTACATGCTTTTTGGTATACTTTCAGTCCCCTATTTTGTGCATTTATATGCTTATTGTGAAATTCCATGTGAAATTAAGTTTAATTAAGTGAATCCTATGATTATAGATGCATATCTGTCTAATAAGAGAAATATCTGTTACAATTATAATCTTTGGATCAGAAATTGAAAGCCTTAGAAGCTTAATTCTCTGAAATTGACTTTATATTTGAGATCAGCATAATTTTTAGACCGTAGTATGCTTTTTTGTAAAATTTTGATTTGGAACAATTAAACTGATTAAGTTTTGTCTTTATTCAACCTTTATATATATGTATAGCTATAAGTGTCTCTTTAAACTTGGGACTTAGAAGCTTTCTCATCAAAATATCTCCTGAAAAAGAAGAGTAAAGAGAATAGGAACAAAGAGGGAAGATCTACAAAGAAGAGGATTGAGAAATTGAGAGGGTTTAAAGGAATTTAAGCTCAAGGTATGTGTAATTCATCTTAAATAGCCTCCTTCTTAAACATGTGTAAAAAATCCCCTTTCCTTTGTGAAGATTAGGGTTTGTGATTGAAATTTGGTGGGTGATAATCACTTAATTGGAAGATGTACTTGTTATTTGCTTGTTTTGAGAATTGGTTTGAGTTGTATAATGAGGATTTACATTCTAACCTTTGATTTTTCATGTTGAACCTACATATTTGTATATATATATTGTTTATAAGTTGTGTACAACCACAAACATAAGGGTATGGAATTGTTTATGTGTTGTTGATCCATATTTTTGCAATAAACTACTCTATTTTGAGCCTTATAAATGCTTACTGTAGACCGCCCCGAGGGCTCCTGGCGCTCCGCGCTGCGAGGGCGCGAAATTCTGGTTTGCTCTCTAGCTACTACAGTTCGGACTCAATGTCACGGTTCTTAATCTGATCTCGCAAAGTGCAATGCAAGACTGATAAATCACCAAAGAGTCCAAATCCGGCAAATCGTTTTGAAAAACTGATTTTTATAAAGAAGTGCCAAACATGGACTGCTTTGCCAGATACAGAGTCGCCACCTAAATATTTTATTTGGGGAGAATTTAGGAAACCCTAACTCCTGCCTAAGGCCACGTGTCTGTCATCACCAAAGTTGCCTCGACTCGGGAACTTGGGTACGAGAGGGGAAGGTCATGCAATGAGCACCCCCGCTTGCCCGATCAAAGATTGGCCTGTACTAAGCATGATATTTTGTTTTTGAAAACACATGTGCTCTTATTCCGGTTAATAAACCTAGAATTACTATGTGATGCACACAACATACAAGTATAGACTAGATCGCTTAAGTTGGAACAAAACATTGCATATCTGTTTGTTTGAAAATAGTTTGAAGTTTGCTACTCGCAAGTAGGCTAAATCGAGGATCTCAATGAATTGTTTTAATTCAAGTAATCCAACCTTCACCCACAGGCATTCAGGCAGTTATATCAAATAAGCAGTTAGCCTCATGGCAAGCATGCTTTCATGGCAATCAATAACACACATGTAATATGCTAAAGCATAAACACTCACAGTGTACTCCGAGCCAAAACAAAGAACTAGTTAGAAATCATGCATGATCCTAGTTCATGTTAGGATGGCTAATACAACACATGCGGAAATGACTAAGATAGGCTCGGCTATTCTAAGATGTCATGTGAAATGCAACTTGATAACATGCTATTTGAACACGTATTCAAGTAAATGTATTGAAATACAATGCAATTAGTATGATGCGCCAAGCTCGGTGCATGCAATACAGATGAATGGATGCACGCATGCGAAGCATAAGTATGCTAATTGAAATATGCCCTAAAACTAACCATCGTGAGCGGTTAAGTAAAAGGGAGAAAGAAATAGAGGTTAGAAGACATGCATCACACACACGCACGCTTATTACAGCAGTAGGCCCTCTCGATGGAGGGACCAAATAAGAAGCTAACTAGCTAATCTAAGCTAATTAAACTAATTATTACACAACGAAACTAGCTAACTAACAAGCTAACTAATTAAGCTATTACAAAACAAATAAGCAGCTAAACGTATTAACTACTTAATTACAAAACCAAAGCATAAACTAGCTAAGCAAATTAGCTAAGTAAAGCAGTAAAGCAGGAGCTTCAGAGGGAGAAGAATGCATGCATGCTCGGTCACCTCATTCAGAAATCCAATGCGATGCCCCGATTTGCCTCTGTTTGCAATTGTTCTCAGAACCTTGCACTAAGCTCTAGAAAGCTTCCAACTCACCTTAGGGACCTTGTGGTAGGGCTGCCGACTTGTTGTTGAGGAAGGAGACCACCTACCGACCACTTTCTGTGCTGAAAAACCAGAAAAAGTGGTCGGCCAGCTAGTAATGCTGGTCGGCCGACCACTTTTTGTTGTTGGATTCCACTTTTTTGCAACATAGAGCAAGAAAGGGCATGACAATGTATTTGCAAGATATGTGTGCACAACCACCCTCCCTATCGTTTCATGAGCTCAAGGGAGTGTGGTTCTCGACCCTCGAGCCACCAATCACGTATCTCAATGCATGATGGCCGAGAAGCCAAATTGCACAATTCAATATAAAATGAATGCACACATAAACACATAAGGCCTAAAACTCTATTATGTATGATCAAGAGCGTCAGGGACCGGGAATTAAGGCACGTTTTATCACTTAAAGTATGAAATGCCCCTTGTTTCCCGTGTTTGGACTAACACCTATTCCAAACACAATGCAAGCAACTATCATGGCAAGCATGTAATGCAACTTAAGCATGCAAACATGCAACTATATGGCATACTCAATGCAATGTGATATGATTAACTTAACAAAGCCAATGATACATGAACAATGCTAATGCATGCATGCACAATGCAATGCTACAAGGGCAACTTAGCAATGGTAGGAACATGCGTACTCAATGCAAAGGGGCAATTAGGCATGCACAATGCAAAGGACCGCATGCAACAACTAGCATACACAATGCAATGAACAACATAAGATTCTAAACACAATGTAATGCATGCATGCGCAATGCAATGCAACAAGGACAACTTATCAATGCTAGGGACATGCATACTCAATGTAAAACAAGATAAGCACGCAAACAACATGCAAGTAAACATGCTAAATGAACCTAAACCAAAAGGGGTAGACCTCAGTCATGCCCAAATCAGTGACCAACATGATGAAACTAAGGCATGAAGATCAAGACAAGCATGCACATGCATTGGCCTATTAACTAGGCCCAAGAGCACAACTCTCAAGAGTGCTCAAGAAGTGATAGACATGAAAGTGTAATAACACTATATGCTCTGAAATAAGGTATGAAATGATGCCAAATCACTCAATCAACACAAGCATGGCATGCTAGGGTTCTTAAGCATTAAAGCTAGTAAAGAAGACTACAAAGGAGGCATGCAATACATGAAAAATATGCATGAACCAACCATGGACAGAGTTTAATTACATCTAAACAGAGACCAAAACATGCTGAGACAGAGGCTCAAAGACCTAGGCATGCAAGCATACAATCTAAGCCATAAACAAGGCAACAATGCTCAACACTGAAAGGCACTTAAAGAGTGAATGAAGTGGGAACATGGCAATGCTACATGCTCTGAAATGTCATGTTAAGTGATGTCAAATCATGTACACAACACAAATGAAGCATGCTATGGTGCTCAAAGCTTGAAGCTAGCAAGAGCACTTGCACTACAACTATGCAAAACATGAAGCATGTGACCAAGGCAACCCAAAATAGTCCTAGAACATCTTAAAATGAGTCTAAAACATGTATGGAAGGAAGCCAAAACAAGCTAGCATGAAGGGCATAAGGCATGGAATATGCAAGGCAAATAAGGTGGATTACACTACACCTATCAAGACCAAGCATGAGATGGCTTCGCCAACAAAAATCAGAGTTATATCATGGAAAAATAACCCCAAAAACACATTGAAATGATAGCTCGCAGGCTTAGGCATGAAGGCATATGCAATGATTCATGTTTAAGGTTCCAATTTAAGTAATCCGACCTTCACCCACAGGCATTCAGATAGTTATATCAAATAAGCAGTTAGCCTCATGGCAAGCATGCTTAACATGACAGTCAATAACACACATGCAGTATGCTAAAGCGTAAACACTCACAGTGTACTCCGAGCCAAAACAGAGAACTGGTTAGAAATCATGCATGATCTAGTTCATATTAAGATGGCTAATGTAACATACGCGAAAATGTACCTAAGATAGGCTCGGCTACCTAGAATGTCATGTGAAATGCAACTTAGTACATGTATTCAACTTGGAATTGAAATACAATGCAGTTAGTATGATGCGTCGAACCCGGTGCATGCAATACAAATGAATGGATGCACGCATGTAAGCATAAGGTATGCTAATCAAAATATGCCCTAAAATTAACCATCGTAAGCGGTTAAGCAAAAATGAGAAAGAAATGGGGGTTGGAAGATATGCATCACACATACGCACGCTTATTATAATAATACGCCCTCTCGCAAGAGGGTCCGAATAAGAAGCTAACTAGCTAATCTAAGCTAATTAAACTAATTATCACATCACCAAACTAATTAACTAATCCTAGTTAATTGATTAAGTTATTACAACACAAATAAGCAGCTAAACACATTAACTACTTAAATTACATAACCAAAGCAAAAACTAGCTAAGTAAAGCAGTAAACAGAGGTGCCCTTAGAGGGAGAAGATTGCATGCATGCCCGGTCGCCTCGTTCGGAAATCCATCGCGATGCCCCGATTTGCCTCTATTTTCATTTGTTCTCAGAAACTTGCACCAAGCTCCAGAAAGCTTAAACTCCACCTTGGGGACCTGTGGAAGGGTGGCCGACCAGTTGTTGCTTTCTCCAGCCACCTGTCGATCACTTTTTGCTACTGCAAACCAGAAAAAGTGGTCGGCCAGCTAGTTTTT